CTATCTATCTATCTATCTATCTATCTATCTATCTATCTATCTATCTAGGCATATATATATGATATCTATATCTATATAGATATCTCAATAGATAGACAAAATAGATGATAGATAGATAACAGATGAATAGATAAGTAGATTTGAAACAAACAAAACCAGCAACAACAACAGCGAAAGCACTCCTAAGATGTAAAGTCGTATGTTCCTGAGCCAAGAAGATAGCCAAGGGAAGAGAGCGAAAAAGACAGAGCAAACGGGGGCCACACCAGACACTTCCAGTTGCCCAGTTCCTCTCTGGCATCAGTTTTCCCCATCATTAAAGGTAAACAATACAGACTGCACACAAACTAGTCATGAGCTCATTCCCCAAATGTGAGTTCTTATGAATCATTATGAAAGTTGCATGATCCCATTGGTGGCAGAACAGCCTCACAAGCTTGTGAAGAGACTTACGGGAAAAATACATTAAAACATTTACACCTTCATTAGTCACCAGAAAAATGCAAATAAGCAGTCACATACAACTGGGCAGTGGTGGTGCACAGCTTTAATCCCAGCGCTCAGGAGGCAGAGGCAGACAGTTTTCTGTGAGTTCGAGGCCAGCCTGGTTTACAGAGAGTATTCCAGAACAGCTAGGGCTACACAGAGAAACTCCGCCTCGAAAAACAAATAAACACAAAAGGACAGGAAAAATCACATGTGTTGGTTCAATGGGCGGATAACCCGAAGAATGGGAGCAGTGTGGAGCGATGTGAACGCTTGCTGCTGTTGGGTGTGCATCTCTACACAGCCACATTGGAGAGCTGCCTGGAGTGTGTGCAAGACACAAACACATGCATGTCTCGTGGCATGGTGAGTCTGCTGCCAGCGTGATGACCCTTCCAGCATGTTCATGGCAGTGCTGTTGCAAAGGTCTCTCACGGAAACCGTCAAAGGCCACCAGGAGAAGAATGAACAAAGGAGTGTGCAGTGTTTCCATATAGTGCCATGGCTGGATAGCATCCTGCCGACTAAAAAGCAATCAGGCAAAAGCCTGCATTCTTGTGTGTGTGTGTGTGTGTGTGTGTGTGTGTTCGAGCACATTCGTGCATGCCTGCATGCTTTAGACATGGATGTGGAACTCAGAGGGCCACTTTCGGGAGCTGCTTCCCTCCTTCCACCATGTAGGCTGAGCGGTGGGTCAAGTTCAGGCCAGCAGGCTCGGTGGCAAGCCCACACAGCCACCTCACGGGCCCACTGAATTAACTTCTCAAAATCCCTCAGGCGGTACAAAAGTGCAGCTCCTCCACAACGTGTTCTAAAGACTGAACCAAATGGACAAGACAAGGTCCAGAGGAGACGCAGAAGGGAGGGGCTGGGACAACCCGAGGGTACAGGGTGGCAAAGCTGACTGAGCCTCTGGGCAGGTCTCACTTACGGCGCAGATGGATTTGGTCATCTCATAGTCAGCTGCACACAGCATGTCATCGTATATGTAGTAGCTGCTAGTGGAGCCAGGCTGAGGTGGTGGGAAAAATGATTTACACAGGTCGTTTTCCATGAGGGTTAGCTGCACTTCATGGAGGTCGTCAGGCAAAGGATGGCTCACTGCCGGAGGGGGAGCAGATGTGAGATGTGGCAGAGGGGAAGCCCAGCAACTGTGGTCAGGAGAGGGCCTAACAGAAGATGGCTGATGTCCTGTCTCTTACAGAGAGCTGCCCCGGTCACACTTTGCCTCTGTGTCTCCACTCTCATCCCCTGACCTGACCAGGAGACCCTACCTGCCCTCACATAGGCTGTCAAGAGACTGAAAGTCCATCTATTCTAATGCTGCTGGACCATTCTTCTGGTGAGCAGCCTGTGTGACTGTCACTTAGAAGCTAGGAGCAGGGAGGGGGACCCTAGCCCTGACCTCAGAGAAACTCCTTCCTCAACATTCCTTTGCTAGACTGTGGCCCTAAGTTTCATGCCAAATTTACATCTACTTTATTTAACTTGCCATTATAGTGTCTTAAATCAAAAGCATTCAGCCCTGTGTAAAGTCCTTGCCCAGGTGTCCTGTGCTCTCAGTCTAGACAGATACAGTTGTCCCTTGCTGTCAGCAGGCTTTTCCTGTGGCCCAGGATCCCAGACTGACTCCACAGACACTGAGTTTTCTCTGCAAAGCGTGTACAGAGAACCTGGGCTCACCTTCCTGTACACTTAAAATTGTGTCTAGACAACACAATGTCTGACGTGAGGCAAATGGGACAGAGACAGTCACAGTTCTGTATTGCTTAGAGAATAAGGACAAGGAGAATGTCAGTCCCCAACACTGAGGCTTTTGGTCCCCGGGTGACTGGGTCCATGGATTCAGAACCACGAGTACACGGGGCCAGTTGTAAAAGCTGGTGAAAGAGGCTTCCTTGCCTTAGGGGATGAGCAGTGAGGTTCAGAGAGGTGACTGATCCCCAGTTAAACAGCCCAACCTGCCCCTTGCCAGGGAGAGCCGGTTGCTTTTATCTCTTGAAGGATGGTCAGTGTCATCCCTGGCCAGGGTGGAGCAACCACTGCTTGTGGGGAGCCTTGCAGTGCACGGGGGTCAACCACAGTCAGGACCCCGAATCTTGAAGGGCTCTGAGTCAAAGAGCCTGCAAGCCCCATCTGAAGGGGAGGTTTGCTTCTGAAGCAGAAGGTGGGGTTCGCAGGCACTGGGAAGGCCTCCGGCCTCCCCCCCCATCTCCCTCTTCAAGCATGTGTCTCCTGTACTCACCATCCTCCCTGAGATGCCCCCAGCCAGTTGCCCAGCAGGCCTTATTTTCGGGGATTTGTATATCTTTCTTCGGGACACAGGCTGGGAAGATGTGGGAGCTGTACTCCACAGGCGAATGCAGCTGCATCAAGACAATGTCACTTCCCTGGCGGTGTAATTTGTCGTAGTCTTTGTGAACAATCAGCTTGTTCACCGACAGCTGCCGGCTGTACTTGGTGGGACTGCTCAGCTTGGTGTAGCCCAGCAGGATCTGGTAGTCATTTGGGTTGTGAGACCTAGCGCAGGGGAAGGAGGACCTCCTGTAAATGCTGGGTGAGTGCTGCCCACCCACCCTGCAGGCAGCCACACCCAGTCTCGTCTCCCTTTCAAGAGTCTCTTTTGGGTGTTTTGTTTTGTTTTGTTTTGTTTTTCTCTTGAGGGACAGGATGATCATACACAGCCTGAGGAGACAGAAGGCTCCTGATATCCCAGAATTCAAGGGGCTGTCAATCTCATGATTGGGCTGGACCATCAGACTGCACCCCTTCATCTCGGAGGAGAAAAGACACACTCAGACCTTGTCGGCTCTGCCTTACAACTATATGGCCTTCTCAAAGACCCCCACCTCCTGCCTGGCATGAGCCCTACCTCAAACCTCACACACTGTCTTTTCCCAAGATTATTTTCCTACCTAACCATAACCATGGGCATTCAAGATGTATTTATGGAGGAAATGGAAGAATAAGTAAAAAATTGCTGTTTCTGGAACACAAGTTATATTTTAGCCCGTGTGTGTGTCCATTAACGTGGCTCTCTTACACGCCCAGTCCACATGCCTGAATTCCCTTCCCCCAGGGCCCTTCCAGCTGTATGACTCATGGCATCTCCTTGACATGCCTAGATGGTCTGTCACCATGGGAAGTGGCCTCTGCCTCACTTTCCCCATAGGTGGGTCTCATAGGTCCTCCACATCAGGCCTGGCACACATGCTGCTGAATATGTAAATGTAAAATATGCAGTAATTTATCCTCCTTGCTCCTTTCGGGGACACAGTGAGCACAGGTGCATCTGGTTGATTGTACTGGTGTACACACACACACACACACACACACACACACACACACACACACGGTACCCAGATGCCCCTGGGAAGGACTATGCTCCAATGTAGCTGTGCCTGAATCCAAATGAACTTCAAGGAACATGCCCTGGATGGAGCCTGCAGAGAGCCCGGGCAAGCGGATGCAGGAGACATCCCAACTGTCTCTAGCCTTGGGAATAGGAGTCTGGGATTGTCCCTTTCACTAAGCATGGGATCGTCTGGCTAGGTTAGGACAAGGGAACAGTAGTTCCAGGAGAAGCCAGGCCCGTTGCCACCCGCAGGGCTTGTCTAGAGGGAAACAGCCGACGGTTATGAAGTAAGCTCAAATGGAAAAGAGTTTTGATCTGTAACATTCGTGAAAGAGAAGAGACGAGACTGGAGGTGACCGACCCCTTCAGAACGAAACCCGTTTTCCAGCACTGATGTACGGGCACAACGGAGGAGAGTGTTTCTGTTAGCAGGTTAAAGCTAACGCGTGTGTCACTGCGGCAACCACAGTAGTTAGTGGAGTCTCTGGGAAGGGGAGAGACAAAATATGCGACCCAGACCAGCAGGAGATGGTGTCAGCTGATGAGCAAGGACGGCAATCCTGGTGAAAGACACCACTCAAGGGCAGGGCAATGGCGCAGGAGGCCTCCTGCTGGCAGCAGGCTATCCCAGAACACAGCCTAAAGGGGAATGGCGGCCATGCCTCCTTCACTTTTCCCGGTCCTAGTGACCCTCTCCTGACCCCCTTCCCAGCAGAAGGGCCCCAGGGAGGGAACACGCACCTTTGAAAGCAGTGGGCAGCGCCAGCTACCCAGTTTTTGTCGATGAGAACTGCTCCACAGATGTGCGAGCCATACAAGCGCAGACTGGCCTGCCACGGCCACCGCTCAGAACCTGCCTTCTGACCACCAAAGATCTTCCCTTGGAATTTGCTCTTGCCACATACTGTGGAGACAATCGCAGCCGCGAGGCACCTGCATTCAGGATGCATTTGCTTGGTGCCCCAAGTGTTAGCATCAGCAGGACTCAGGGGACACAGAGGCCTCTCCTCCAAGGTCGGGAGGGGCGTGGCAAGGCTCATGTGACAAAGAGCATCCTGAATGACGGGGAGGGTTGGATTAGGCTTCCTCTCAGCAAGGATCACAGAACAGAGATGGGGGCAGGGAGGAGGGTGCTGCCAGGAGCTCCTAGAACCTCATTAACTTAGCGAGCACAGCTCTGAAGAGGCAGACGCTAAGGCTGACAGGGGCCATCATTTTTCAGGGCCAAGGTATGTCCTCCCACCCCAACCCAAGAATACCGTAGTACAGCCCTACAATCCTGACCCTGAGCTGAGGAAACGAGGTCAATGGACAAAAGCGGGCAGAGGAGAGGGCTGCAGTGTATAAGTCCCTAGTCTTAAGGCCCTCCCTTTCGATGCAAAGGCCTGCAGGCCCTCCCAGCTGCCCGTGTTCCGAGGGGAGGGGAGGGGAGGGGACACACCCACTGAAAACCTGCCTCCCGCTTCCTTACCCTGCGACAGGGATAGCGCAGTCTGGGCGGCTGTGATATTTGCAGCGCTAGAGATGTTGGCGGCCCGGGTCTGCTGAGGCAGGAAGCTCAGCCAGAGCAGAGAAGCCAGAAGACAGGCCCCGGACCGGTCTGAGCCCGATTTCTGGGCCCTAGCGCCCCACATAGCATCTGGCCGGCCTGTGTCTGGGTCCCAGACAGGACCGAAAGCACGTGCAGACAACCGCTGACTCTGGCAAACTGCCTCTAGGGAACATCTCCTCTCCCACCCCGACCTCGCGGGAGCCGAGCAAGTGTGCTGAAAACCTAGGTCCATGGGAGGCAGTCGGTACTGGAGCTGGTTGTCCTCAGTACCCTCTCAGGCGTTCACAGAAACAATTCTCCCATGGGGGCGGGGGGGGGGAGGGTAGGGAGAGAAGGGCGGGGGGCGGGGGGTTCCGGCAAAAGCATTCACTGCATCCCAGAGTTTCTCAGTTTCGTTCTGCTAGAATATGCACTCAAAACACAAAGTCTCATCACCCGGAGCGCCATGGCAACATCTCATCAGCCTCAAATCCACAGACTCAGAAGACGGCATTATGGACTTCCTGAAGCTAGAGTTACAGGCAATTTTCATCTGCCCAGTGTGGGTCTCTGGGAACCAAATGTGAGTCCCCTGGAAGAGCAGCAACCACTCTTAACTACCGAACCATCCCAAAGCTCTACAATTAAAATAACAAACAAGCAAACAAAAACCCCACCTTTTTATTGAGTCTTTGAAATGTTCATAAGCGTACTCTACACAACGATCTTGGTTTTATTCATCCTTCACACACACACAGACACACATACCCTCAGTTCCCTTCAGGAACCCCCATTATAGTTCTCTCCCAACTTCATATCCTCCTCACTTGTTTATTTGTTTATCATATGGACGTGGATGTGTGGCTCTCTGCTGGGACATGAGGAAGTTAGCAGTGTCCACACTCCTAAAGAAAGGCGATGCCCTTCCCCACAGCGGTCAGCAAATTGCCCATAGAGCCTCAGCTAGAATTGGGTCTCAGAAGGTCCTCCCTCCTCTGTGCTGGAATTTATTTGTGCAGGTCTTGTGCAAGTGTCCACTGCTGCTATGGCTGTAATTGTTTGTAAGCAGAGCACTATGTGTTTCTCTTTTATCAGTGTATTTCACTTGGACCTAAGGAGTGCTAAGCAATTTTTAATTATGGGAAACTTAATCTTATACGTATTATCTATAAGTAAACCTTATGATAAAGTTTTTAATTTTCTGACTTTGTCCTCATTTATCTGTTTCCATTCTGGAATTTTTTTTTAACTTGTGTGATAAAACTTACTTATAGTCTAAAATCATTTCTTATCTGAAAGCAACTTGCTTTTCCTTCAGATTTCTTATGTGCTCATATGTATAACTTTTTGTACCTCCTTCTCACACCTGATTCACCTTTTCTAGTGGCAGTAGGGATAGAGACACTGCTCTAATGACTGCTCACAGCCTGAGGTGTTCATTTAATCTTTAGAGTTTGGATTCTTGATTTTGCTACAAAAAAGAATTTCACTGTAAGCCAGCATAAAGCCAAGCTCGAGTTTATGAAGAGATATTGGTTTAGACTTTTAATTTTAATTTATTTTTAACCATGAGGGTTACGATAAAGAAAGAAAACCAGCAAGAAAGGGAGATGTAGGGTCTCTCAAAAAGGGGTCCTGCTTCATTGTCCTTTCACTAGCCATATATGCCACACTGGTGGGGTTTGAAGCTAGAATATTCAGAGTTGCTTAGGAATCCACATGAAATCCTAGCGTGACCTCTCAAAAAGGAGCTCAGTGCTGGAAGGATCTAGAGATATGTGTGAGCAGGAGATGAGGAAGAGAACGTAATGAAGGGATTTGTGAGCTGCCGGAACTAATCTGCCTTTAGCAGTAAATATTAAATTTTATACAGGAGGGAAGTCAACATTGCAACACTCTTTAACGTGCACAGGAAATTGGCTGATTCTAAAGTTGCCCAAAAGCCTCAAAGTTCCACCAAGTCTCCAGACCAGTTCAGGCCCGGCCCGGCAGAACGTCTCTCACACTGCCAAAGACTTCGGCACGTGTGGAAGAGCAGCCCTTCTCCCTGAATCTGGACCAACAGATGGATGCAACTTCTGCTTCCTGCAGCTCACCAGCCCTTTAGGTGCCTGGTCCATGCTCGCAGGTACTGAGCTTGGTCTGGCTGCACTCCGGTTAGGCTGCTCGCCTCCCTCCTGCCTGCCAGAGCCAGCGTGACTCATGGGAAGTATTGGGCCTTTCTTTTTAAATAAAAAAAAAAAAGTATGTTTTAAACCATGCGTATGTATGTGATTATGTGCATGAGAGTACTAGTGACCATAGAGACCAGAAGAAAGTGTGGGAAAGTCCAAAGAAAGTCCTTTGGAGCTGAAGTTACAAGCAACTACCAACATGGGTGCTGGGACCTGAACTTGGTTTGTCTGGGAAAACAAACACTCTCAGCCTTGAGACATCCCTCCAGCCCTAGTGTCAGACCTTCCTCAAACTCTGCTCAAAAACAGCCTTTCATTAGAATTTTCTTCTGATCTTTTTTCCTTCTAGATTTATTGATTATTTTATGTGTATGAGTGTGCTGCCTGAATCTCTGTAAGCGCACCATGTGATTTCCTGGTGCCCATGAAGGTCCAGAGGTTATCTTGGGTCCCCTAGAACTGGAGTTACAGACCATTGTGAGCTGTCATGTGGGGGCTGGGAATTGAACGTGGGTTTTTGAACCCAGGTCTCTCAACTATTGAGCCATCTCTCAGGCCAAGCTCCTCATCTTTTGCTTTTGTTTAAATTCCCTGGCCTTGAGAACTAGCCACATCAAGCTTTAGTCTGACCCTGACCTCTCTATGCCAGGCTCTTGGATGTACTGCACGCAGAGCAGGCTGAGAGTGAAGTCTGCCTTCACCAAACAGGTCCTGATAGTAAAGCTAGGAATAAATCATATGACAGGAGATTAAGATAAGTTGTGGGTTAATGTGATGAAAGGGATGAAGGGTAATACATCACTCTGAAGAAGGGAACTGGGGTCTGAGGGTCAAGGGACACTTCAGAAGAAGTACTTTGGCAAAGATATAACTGAGCAGATGTGTTAAAGAAAGAGCAATGCCCTAAGGCAACAAGGGTCATCCACCATGTAGGGAAATAGAAAGGGCCTGAGACAGCTGGAGCTCGGAGAACCTAAAAGGTAGGCAGGGAGGAACGAGAACAGGGGTACCGGGCCGTGTGCAGAGAAAATATTTCACATGTCTCTCAGCTCTCTATGGCTGTGATGAAGTGTTTTACAAGGCAAAGGTTTATTTTGACTCATAGTTTCAGGAATTTCAGTCCATGGTCACTTGGCCCTGTTGCTTTGGGCCTGTTGGGGCAGAGTGCACCATGTGGGTATGAGGCAGGGTGTAAAAGGGGAAGTTTATGGAGAGAGACATAGGGAGGGAAAGGAGTCCATTGCTTTAGAGTGTGGGTGTAGCCCCTGGCCAGTAGAAAATCAAGAACATTATCACAATTAACATTGTCTGTGAATGTTGATGATGTGGACAATATTTTTAAAACATTTTCAAATTAAAAACATTAAGATAGGAAGAAGCCAGGCTTGCAGCCTGAACATACATATCTTAGGGTGGGGCCTTTTCTCCTTTCCTGAATTTTTTCTGGAAACCTTGAAAACAGAACTAGCCATTTATGTTTACAGTGAAGATATCCTAGCTTCTTCCATCCCTGATCTGGGCTTTTTACCTTATCAACTGTCATCCTGTCCATTCACCCCAGGAGCCATCCTTTCATCTCATTGAAAGTCTTCAACTCTCAGATAATAGCTTCAAAAGCCATCCATATCCTACTGCAAAGACAATGAAGTGTGCCCCTCCCTTGAGCCCCGCAGACCTGTGTCCTCAGGTATGTCTCTCTGCTAACCTTCCAAACTCAAACCTATGTTAAAGTTCCCTTCAGTGAACTCCATTTCTGCTTCAGAATGGCTTACCTTGAGACTCTATTCTGCAAGAAAGCCAAGAACTTGGTTTTAACTGAGTCGAGGCCTCTGAAACTTCTCAGACTGCTGTCCGCAGCAGCGTGAAATGGCCACACCTCGGTGGGAAGCAGTGTTGCTGGTCTGCTCCCCGCAGTGCCCACAGGTGTACTCTGTGGTAGCAAGGAAGCAAAGAGAGAGAGGAAGAGGACGTGGCCCCATCTCTTTCCATCATCAGTAACCTAGCCTCCTCCCCAGTAGACATCCTCCTAAAGGTTGTACCACCTTCTGACAATGCCACAGGCCTGGGACCAATACCCTTAATACATGAGCCTTTCACGAACATTTCAACAATAAATTCCAGCAACTTTGATTAGAGAAAGAAAGTGGAAATTTCATTTAGTGTAGAAGCACCACACAAGGTAGGTCAAGGTGATCGCGGGAGAGAGGCCAGTCTCCACTCTGCTCTTGCCCCAGGAAACTATCGATTAGAAAAGTGTGTGTCTTCGGCAACTCAGCCAACAAGGTGAGCTATGTCATTAACCATGATGAGGTCTCTGTCTTTGGACTGAACTGTAATAACTGTCTCAGAACTGGAGATAACCGGCGCACACTGGTGCCCTATGTAAAAACAAGATCAAAAGGCTTGGTTATGGAAGGGGCCCCCACTTCTCCTAAGCACCGAAAGGGAAGTGGTGATAATGGGCAGAGCTAGCTGGGGAATGGTTCCATCCATTAAGGCGCTGCTGCCATCCCTGTCTCTGCTGATCAAGCAGGCAGCTGAATTAGCTTGTGCCTCTCATTGGTCGATGGCTCTCGCAGCTGATGGAGAGGTACTCTCTTGCAGCTATACCCACTGTGGCCCGGCGTTGGGAGGTGGTGGTCAGGATCTACATCAAATCAGCCACCTCCTGGAAGAGTTACTGCAAACCAGCTACATACCAAGAGGGTGGTTGATGTTGCCTATGGTTATATGTCATTCATGGCTATTCTGGACAATGGTGAGGTATATGGCTGCAATGAACATGGGCAGATAGGCTTGAGAAACTATGGCAACTGGCTGACCCCAGTGATAATGGCAATTCTGCACCCAAATGTGTGTGGACCAAATTCCTTCTAGCTGTGCATATATCCTAACTCTAATTCTAGCTTGCTCTATGCCTGGGGAGCTA